TTTGTGCTTTTGGAAAATACTTTACTTATTTAATAGTCTCGACTCTTTGGTAAAAAATCTAAAATTATCGAAAATTATCAAAATTTCAAAAAACTGAATTTCTTAAAATTCAACATTTTTCCTTCTTTTTTATGGCATTTAGCTTCATTATTTTTGTGCTCTTCAAAAATACTTTACTTATTTAATAGTCTCGACTCTTTGGTAAAAAATTTAAAATTATCGAAAATTATCAAAATTTCAAAAAACCGAATTTCTTAAAATTCAACATTTTTCCTTCTTTTTTATGGCATTTAGCTTCATTATTTTTGTGCTCTTCAAAAATACTTTACTTATTTAATAATCTCCACCCTTTGGTAAAAAATCTAAAATTATCGAAAATTATCAAAATTTCAAAAAACCGAATTTCTTAAAATTCAACATTTTTCCTTCTTTTTTATGGCATTTAGCTTCATTATTTTTGTGCTTTTGGAAAATACTTTACTTATTTAATAGTCTCGACTCTTTGGTAAAAAATTTAAAATTATCGAAAATTATCAAAATTTCAAAAAACCGAATTTCTTAAAATTCAACATTTTTCCTTCTTTTTTATGGCATTTAGCTTTATTATTTTTGTGCTCTTCAAAAATACTTTACTTATTTAATAGTCTCCACCTTTTGGTAAAAAATCCAAAATTATGGAAAATTATCAAAAATTCAAAAAACCGAATTTCTTAAAATCCAACATTTTTTCTTCTCTTTTATGGCATTAAGCTTCATTGTTTTTGGGCTATTCAAAAACACTTTACTTATTTAATAGTTTCTACTAGAATTCAATTATTAAAATAAAAAATAACAATTAATTGAATAATTGCATGTTTCTTAAAATTGAATTCTCATAAAGAATTTTATCTATAAATTTTTAAATAACTGAATTCTTTTGACGAATTTTAATAAAATTATTAAGAATTTCTGCGAGAAATTCGATTAAAATTGCATTAAGAATAATTGAAATTCTGCAATGAGTTTTATTATTTATGAAAATAATTGAATTCCTAAAAAGAATTTTATTTATTTACGAAAATAATCGAATCCCGGTAAAAAAAATTATTATTTATGAAAATAATTGAATGATTGCGAAGAAATTTATAAAAAAAATTTGTAAATAATGAAATTCCTGTAAAATTTTTATCATTTTTTGAAAATAATTAAAAGTTTGTGTAGAATTTAATTACATTTTTTTTAAATAATTGAATTCTTTTTGAAAATTTTATTAGAATAGTATAGATACATATTAAAAATCATTGAATTGCGAAAAATTTTTGAAAATAATAGAAATTTTGCCAAGAATTTTATTAAAATTTTTGAAAATAATTGAATTTTTACGAGAATTTAATTACTTTTGAAAATAATTGAATTTCTGAAATCATTTGTAATTTCTCTAAAATTCTCTAAATTATATCTTACAATTTACGAACTTTTCATCCTATGAGCCCTGTTATTGAGAAACAATTTTTTCAAAATTAAAAAACAATTTTTACAAATCGGAAAAATATTTCAAAAATTACAAAATCATTTTTACAGAAAATTATCTTTGGACAGAAAAAATTGAATTTTTATATTTTCAATCCAAAATGAAGTATTTGAAAGTAAAAAATATAAAAAATATCCAGTTTTTCAATAACTTGGTAAATAAATCAAAATACTATGAACACAAGAATTCGCAAAAGTCTCTCCTAATCTAGATGGATACTTATCATAACATAATAAATCACACTGGGAATTCTATTTATTGTACTAAAGTCAGCGTTTAAAAAATTGAAAAAAATAAGTATCTATATTCCTTTCAAATTTGCATCCTATTTTATCAAATAGTCGAATCAGATATAAAGGCGTGCCAAAATGTCGAGTGCATGCCCTAACCTTGATATAAACACTGGTAAATCAAAGTTAAGAGCACAAGAGAGTGAGAAAAGTAATGGTTTCGATAATGAGATGATATTTATCTATAGAAGACACCTTAACGAGGTGCAAAATAACAGTACAATGAACAGATATTAATTTATTCATACCCATGAGCGTTATTTTCAAATGTCAAACTATTATATCGTCAAAAGCCCTCCCCCACTCGCCCCTCCTTTCCACAAAAGAGAATTCAACATGAAAATTGTGTGAGATTAATACAACCTTGTTTTCTCTTATTGTTATATGCAATTGAAAAAAAACTAAAGTATCAAAGTGAAATGATTTAATATCTCAAGAACAAAGAGCAATTTCAACAATATTCCTCGTGACCTTCGAAATTTATTTTCTAACGGTTTGAAAAATTAATTTAAATTTATTGTTTTATTATTTTTATTTTTAGTTTCGTTATTTTAATTTTTTTATTGTTTTATTAATGATTTTATTTATTTTTATTATTTTATAATGTATTTAATTTTGTATTACTCTACTAAAAAATTAAAATATGTATTTAATTAATTAATAATGTAGTGTTCTTTCTCTTTAAATTTGAATAAATAAAAATATTTACTAATTTGAATTAATGACTGACTTTTTGCTTAAATATTTTAAACTTTAACTGAAATTAATTTTTCAAATCAATGTTTATTAGAAAATTCTACAAGAATTCAATTATTTAAATACAAACATAGATAATTTATTGAATAATTGAATGTTTCTTAAAATTGAATTCTTATAATAATATCAACAAATTTTTAAATAATTGAATTCTTTCGACGAATTTTAATAACATTTTTAAGAATTTTATAAAAAAAAGTTTCAAACAATTGATGTTTTTCGAAAAAATTTATGCAAATTTTATTTTAAATAAATCAATTCCAGTTAAATTTTCATTATTTCGAAAAATAATTGAATATTCGAGTAGAATTTGGACACAATTGTTTTTAAAGAATTGAATTCTTTTGGGAAATTTTATTAAAATAGAATATTGAAAATAATTGAATTCTTTTAATAATTATGAAAATAATTGACTTTTGCTGTTCATTTATAAAGATAATTGAAATGTTCACGACAATTTTTTTTTACATTCTTTGAAAATAATTGAATTTCTGCGAAGAATTTTTTTAATTTTGAAAATAATTGAATTCTTGTAATGAAAAATGTTATTTATGATAATAATTAAATTTTGCAATGAATTTTTATTAAAATTTCGGAAAATAATTGAATTTCGGCGAAGAATTTTTCTATTTATAAAGATAATTGAAATGTTGACGACAATTTTTTTTTAATTTTTGAAAATAATTGAATTTCTGGAAAAAATTTTAATATTTAAAAATTTAATTGAATTTTAAATAATTGCAATAAAATTTTTTTAATTGAAATTTATCAATTCAAAAGCAAAAAGTCAGTCACTAATTCAAATAGAAAAAGTTTTTATTAATTAAAATTTTGAGAGTTCTTTTCTTTGTTTATTTTAGAAGGAAAAAATTCGAGAACATTTTTGTTATTTTCTTCCTTTCAACGATCAAATTGTTTACTTATTTCTAGAATATTAAACAAAGAAATATACCTACATATTTTTTAGATATACTTTTTATCATAAAATAAAAGTAACAAAAAATGTACCAAATTTTAGCCTTCTAGGTCAAACTGTCCGAGTTTGAACGAAGGGACTTTAGTTTACTATAATAAAAATCAAAAGGCTTTCTTACTAAACTATATTATTTACCACTTAATAAATAAAACATTTGTAAATTTATTATTGTAGTCTCTGTATTTTATAAGAATAAATTTTTGACCCTTGAAATACCTGCAATTTCATCAATTTAATATTTGTTTCGAATCCTAACCTATAAATTGGCGCAATTTTGTTGCTGCCTGTTTTTTTTTAGATATAAACGATGTTTTTTTCCAAAATTATCATTTTTATTTCGCGAAATTAGTATCGAGGAATTGGCAAATTATAGTAGATTAATAGATATGCACTGATTCAAAAAGATTATGCTTATCAATAAAAGACAGTAAACTAAATATTATCAACTCACAGCTTCTTCCATCAAAAATCAATCAATGTCTCTTCTCCTCTGTCCTCTCTTGTTCGAGTTTCTAAAAAGCACCGCTACCTGCCGCTTCTTTTGTTTAGAAATAGCATCGGTATAACAGGTAGAAAAAAAGGACACAAAAGTTTCTTTTTCATGTAAAAAGAAACAAGAGAAAGGAATTTTTTAAAAAATCCCCAAACGTAACAAAATTATTTTTAATTTATTTTCCCGGCTTTAAAAGAGGCAAAATTGATTAGTAAGATGGCCTCAATTTATTCTTATCGTATGTCAAAAGCAATTTTATCAACAAATAATTGTCACAAAGATAAATCAAGAAACTACTGATTTTAATCGATATCATATACTTATAAAATACTAATAAAAGTAACATTACTTACAATTATAACAACACCTGTGTCTTCGATACAATAATTCACGCAAATCGAAACCAAGGAATTTGCAGACGAAGTTTATATTATATACAGGTTTTCACAACTGGAGCAGCACACTAATCACTTTTTTTCAATGATAAAAATTTTCACGTACTTTGATTGCAAAACAAAAGTGTATTTGATGTTTTTTGTTAAAGCGAACGAGTTGAACACTTAATGAAGTTTTAGAATTTAATTATTGCCAAGTAATTCGTTAAGTTTTATTTGTAAAAAGACAGTAGTATTTATTAAGATGTAAAAAGAACCCGGGACGACACAATCAGTTGTCATAAACAGTGGGGCGCCATATTGAATATTACCTGTCAATACTCAAGTGCAGTGGCGACATCTTGTGAAGTGAGAGAGAAGCTTGCCTCTGATGGTAATGAACTTCAGTTACCGACTGTCGAGTAGTTATCTTATTAGTTCGAGAAACTGCCACCAGAGGCTTAGCAAGTAAAAACCGTTAGAACCGTTATCAGTTACTACTCATTTAAATCATTTAAATATTATCATTATCACGATTATTCAGCAACAAGAAGCGATTTATGCAGTATTTTAGTGTCAGGTAAGAATTTTTTCCTAAATATTTGTATAAATTTGCAAATTTATTCCAATTTGTCCCACTTTCTAATATTCTCGTATTATCGAAATTTGACATTGATTTTTTGTTTAATATTCGGCTTATTATTAAGAAATGTGACTTAAAAAATACGTTTTGTCGGTAAATTATTAAGAAAATGCGATTATTATAAATAAATATTAGAATTATTTAACATTAATGAAACTCTTACCAGCATTATTCGAAAAAAACCGACGTCCGAACAATTTGAGCTTCTCGCAATATTTTTAATTAACTTTTTTTCGTTATTCTTTCGTAATTTTTAATAAATCAATGTCCGCACTTGAATAAATTGGATGCTGTTGTTCTTGGGGGATTGCTGTCACGTGAAAATTTTCCTTTAACGATGTTTTAAAATTTTGCCAAACCTTTAATTGAATTGGAGTATCTCTTTGTTCCTGCGACATCAATACGTAAGTTCCTTTTAAATTGCAAAGTGTTTCCAAAGTATCCAATAATGCTTTTGTCGACTGAAAAATAAAAAATAATTTTAATTAAAATAAAAATGCAATTGAAAGAATCGTAACATTTTTTTTAATTTTTACACAAATACTAAAAAAAAATAAAAATAAAATACTTACTTCTTCATAATAAACGCAATCGGTTAATAGTACAATGTCAGGAGTGAAATTCTTTGGCAATTCTTTTCCCCATTCAAAAATTTCTGTTTTCACCGATCCATTTGAATGTTGCCAATGATTTTCATTTAATTTTACATTTTTATTTAACGCCGGCATTGCGCTTTCTAAATCTGTCATTAAAACGTTTGCTCTGAAAATAAAAAAAGATTTGCATTTTTGTAAACAAAAAAAGATTTTTTTTAATTAAAAAAAAGGTTTTTACAAAAAAAGGTTTTTTTTAAAAAAGGCTTTTTTTATTATAAAAAACATACCCGAAACATGCGGCAGTCATTCCAACGCATCCAAGACCGGCACCAAGTTCCAAAACATTTTTTCCCAACAACCAATTGTCATCAAGACAACTGTGATCAATAAATTTTGCTAAAACAATTGCAGCATCCCAAACGACACAATTAACATCGCCAATTTTTTCCTGATACAGTGATAAAGTTTGTTTACAACTTTCCAACTCTAACTCCCTTATAAATACATTATTATCCATTTTTATCGTTTAATTTTTTCTACAGGTAGAATTTAATGAATATTCGACATAAACTAACTTTATTTTGATTAACTATATATTTCTAAAACTACACGTGAGAGAATCGAATTATTTATTTACATATTATTGTTTCGGTTCCTGTCACTTGAAATTTGAGGTTATGTTCTTGTACAATTGTTTTTTTTATGATTTTAACTTTCCCGGGTGTTTTTTAAATGCGCAAGAATTATTTAAAAAAATTGACCAATAGAAAAGCAGGATTGCCTTGTCCATGAATCAGCGAGTTGTGAACTGAGCTTTAACATCGAGTTTCCTCTCTTGAATGTTTTACATAATCTATGTACTTTTGAGTTTTGGGTTTTGATCACATGTCACATGTGTTTGTTGCTATAAGAATTGTTTTTCTTAATTATTATCATTAATATTAGAGAAATTGTGTTAAAATATGTCTGTTCCTGAGAAATTGTTGATGCGCAAAATTAAAAAAAGAGAAAAAAAGAAATTAGAATTTTTAAAACAACGTGCCGAGGAACAACAGAATGGTATGTGTTTTGAGGTTAATTTGTTTATTTGATTGTTTATTTCTACCCTTTCTACGTAAATGCTAATTGATATTTATTAAAATTTATGTTAAGAAACAAATTTTTTCGATATTATCCATCACGCGTTGTTAAAAATTGAGAAATTAAAAAAAAAATGTTTTTTCGCCACGTTTTTTAATGCATACTGAAAAAAAATTACATTTTGTATTTTTTTTTATTTAAAAAAAAACTGTGCTGTGAATTTTCCGAAAAAGAAGAAAATAGTGAATTAAACAATTATATTTTGTTAGAATTCTATTTATATGAGTGTTTTTGCGCTTATATTGTAGTTTTTTTCAAGATTTAAATGATTTTTAATTCATTTCAATTGAAACAATTTTTTCCATAATTTTCTGAAACGTAAGTAATTTTTATGCCCTCTATCAAAGTATAATTATTTTTAAAAAAACATTCTTTTATTGGATTATATTGTACGAAGAGAATATTTTAAAAAATATACTAACGAAAACCGTATGAAAAGACAAATACAAAATTTGATTATCGGAGTGTCTATTAATTGTTAAAAAACTATTTGTAAATTCTTTACAGAAGAGTTTTTTCTTTTAATTCGATTATTCTAAAAGAAAAGCAATTAAAAAATAAATTCGATTTAAATTCTTTCGATAAAGAAAATTTCTCTAAAAAAAATAATAGACACTCTGTTGTATTTTTGTCTTCTTAAATTGAGTTATTTTACAGAAAAATCAAAAAATCTCGATAGTGAAACTGAAGAAGTTAAAGTAACTAATGGACTTGGGGTGAAAAGGAAAAAGAATGAAGATGTTGAACCCATTAAAAGTCAGTATTTACCATCAGAATATTTATTACTAATTCTTTTATTTCCTCTGCTATTTATTTTAATTAATTTTGTTATTTTTACAAATTTTCTTATTAGTTTTATTTCTAATAATAAATTCTTTTCAGGGTGGCTTCACGTCAGTAAAGTAATTGAAATTTTGTAAAATTTAATTGAAAATAATTAAATTTTTTTAAAGTATTTATTGTTACAATTTTTGAAAATCTACTTTTGAAGAATTTAAATTGCAAATTTTGAAACTAATTGAATTTTCAAAAATGTTAATGGAAAATCTTTAAATTTAAAATTTGAAAATGAAAATAAATGAAAATTAGATTCTAATTTTTTAAAATTCTATATTTCAGTATTTTCAATTACATATTTCCGAAAATGCAAAGAACAATGTGAATGTGTTATACAAAGAATAATAACACTTTAGAATTATAGTTAACATTTTTGAAAAAAATCATGCTCAAAATTTTTAATTGAAATTTATCAAACAATTAATTAGTTTTTTAAATTATACAAAAATTCTTTTAAGAAATTCAATTATTTTCTAAAAGCATTAAAATATTTTTAAAAAGTAATTCTTAGATTTTTTGTATCATAATTTTTTAAGATTCAATTATCTCCGAACAAAGTAAATAAAAATTTATAAGAGTTTTTGAAAAATTTGATTATTTTTATTTATATTTTTCAAAAATTAAATTATTTTTCAAATTTTCAAAGATTTTACCAAATTTTAATTGTGTAAAAATTTTTCAATATAATTAAAAAAACTAATATCTTTCAAAAATTATTTTAAAATATTTTTAAAAAAATTAATTCTAAGAATTTCTTTGTTCAAATTGTAGAAAATAATAAAAATAATAAAAGGAATTTTCAGGGAAATTGATAAACTGAAACTTGTGACCACTCTGATTTTATTTTAATATTTTTTCTGTTATTTACGATCATTAATTTTGTGTTAACTTATTTGTTAACTTCTTTTATATTTTTTTATCTTTATCTTCCTTGTTTCTCATAAATATCTAATTTTGTTATTCGGTGGAATATAAAATTTATTTCCACAATTACTAATTATTCAATTTCTTTTTGCAGAGAAGAAGAAAAAAGTTAAAAAGCAAAAGGTAGAAGTCGAATCAGAAAGTGATGAAGAGGAAATTGAAGAGATGGAAGAAGAAAAAGAGGAAATTCCAAATGAAGAAGAAGAAAAAGATACAATAGATGAAGAAGATTTAGAAAAACAAAATGATAAATCGGAAGATTTCACTTGTGAGCATTTTTTTTGTATATTACCTAAAAAAATAATTTTTTATTTAAGTATTTTTATTTTTATTAATATGAATTTCTCTTTTATTTATCACAGTGCCTGGTTGTTCGGTGGGTTTAGAAGTATTTAAAAATCCAGAATTTTCAGCATTGGAAACTAAAATATGTGAGAATACATTGAAGGGTATAAGTGATATGGGTTTTACAAAAATGACAGAAATACAAGCGCGTTCCATACCGTCGTTACTTGAAGGCAGAGATCTAGTTGGTGCTGCAAAAACTGGCTCGGGAAAAACTTTAGCTTTTCTTATACCCGCAATTGATCTCATTTATAAACTCAAGTTTATGCCTAGAAACGGTAAGAACTAGTTTTTTTTATTAAACTTGTTCTTGTTTTTTCTTTATTTTTTATATTTTATTCATTTAATTGTAATAAATATAAAACGTTCGAGTTTTTTTTAAACTATAAAAACAGTATTTTTAATTTAATTTGAATTTTTTTTTATTATTTGAAATTTCATTTTCAATAAATCACTTCTTTTTCTTTGAATTGTTATTTTTTAGTTTGTTTTTATTTTCTATTTTATTATCAATTTCATTTTCAATTTCATTTTGTTTAGTAAATGAAAATAGTAATTTAAACATGAATTTTATTATACAGGAACGGGTTGTATTATTATTTCGCCGACACGTGAATTGGCGATGCAAACATTTGGTGTTTTGAAAGAATTAATGAAATATCATTTTCACACATATGGATTATTAATCGGCGGTACTGATAGAAAAACAGAGGCGCAAAAAATAGCGAAAGGAATTAATATTATCGTTGCAACGCCCGGACGTCTATTAGATCATCTTCAAAATACAGCCGATTTTTTGTACAAAAACTTACAATGTCTCATTATTGACGAGGCTGATCGTATTCTTGATATTGGATTCGAAGAAGAAATGAAACAAATCATCAACCTCTTGCCGAGTCAGTATTTCTACTGTTTTTTCTCATTCCTTGGATAATCTTTAATCATTAAAATTCCAATTTTACTTTTAATTTCCTCATAAGTAATTAATTTAATTTTGTTTTTAATAAATGATTCAATAATTTATTCTACTTTATGCCAATTTATTTTGAGATTTTAAATTTTAATTTTGAAATTAAAAATGAATTTTTCACAAATTTACAGAAAGAAGGCAAACGATGCTTTTTAGTGCAACGCAAACAAAAAAGACGGAAGCATTAACGAAATTAGCTTTAAAGAAGGAGCCAATTTATGTTGGTGTTGACGATGAGAAATTACAAGCAACGGTTGATGGTTTAGAGCAAGGATACGTGATGGCACCAAGTGACAAGCGATTTCTTCTTTTATTCACTTTTCTCTGCAAAAATCGAAATAAAAAAGTTATGGTCTTCTTTAGTTCGTGTATGTCAGTTAAATATCATCATGAACTTTTAAATTATATCGATCTTAAAGTTCTCTGTATTCATGTAAGTGTTTTATTTCAAAATTTTTCCTAACGTAAATTTTAACAATTTAATTATAGATATTTAATAATATTTAAGAGTAATTTAAGAATAATTATTTAAGATGTAAGAGTAATTATTTTGTTTTCGTTTGAATGTAATTTGTATTTTTTTTTTATTTTATAGGGCAAACAGAAACAAACAAAACGAACGACAACATTTTTTCAATTTTGTAACGCAACCACGGGAATTCTTTTGTGCACTGATGTTGCTGCAAGAGGACTTGATATTCCAGATGTTGATTGGATTGTTCAATATGATCCACCTGATGATCCTAAAGTGAGTCTTTAATATTATTTTCTAAAATTTAATTTTAAAAAAAGACTAGTTTTGTTATTCAGTAATCAGGAAATGGCAAGAATAAATGTTACATGAAAATTTAAACTAAAGAGGAGAGCAATAATAATTTTAGAGTAATTTATTTATTGTTTAATCTAAATAAAATATTACAAACTTCTTAAGAGTTGTTAAGAAACGATTAAATTTAAACAGGCCTCGGATATTTTGACTTTTTCGACTATTTTCAAATAATGCGACTTTTTCGACTTTTCTTCAAAATTTTGCGACAAAATGCCATATTTTTAGTATAAAATGCAACTTATTTCGATTTTTATAGATTAAAAAGCATAACTATAGACAAATCTTTGAAAATTTATTTTTAAATAATTTTTCTAATTCAATTTTTGAAGTATACAGTTAAAAAGATTTTGAATAATTAAAATTTTGTAAAATTTAATTGAAAATATTTAATTTTTTTCAAGTATTTTATTACAATTTTTGAAAATTAACTTTTAAAGAATTTTAATTGGAAGATTTGGGAAATAATTGAATTCTCAAAAAATTTTAATAAATAATCTTGAAGTGTAAATTGAATAAAAATGAAAATTAATGAAAATTATGTTTTAAAAATAATATTAAAATAGTTTTGAAAAAAGTAATTCTCTGAATTATTTCGTTCTAGTTTTTTAAAAATCAATTATTTTCAATATTTCCGAGAAAATTTAAATATATAGGTGCATAAAATAATAACATTAAAATTTTTTAGAATCATTTTTAACATTTTGGAGAAAAAAATCGTATTCAAAATTTTTAATTAAAATTCTTCAAAAAATAATTTTTTTTAACTTATACAAAAATTCTTCAATTATTTTTAAAAGATTAAATTACAATATTTATAAAAAAACTAATTTTTAGAATTGTTTTATCATAATTTTTTAAGATTCAATTACCTTTGAACAAAGTAAATTAAAATTTTGAAAAATTTCCTATTTTAGCATTTTTGAGAAATTATTTATAATTAAAATTCTTCAAAAATTTGATTATTTTTTTTTAAATTTCTGGTAAATTGTTATTCGATATAAAAGTAATTTAGGAAAATAAAAAAAAATGTAAAAAGCTTAATGTTTCTCCTACAATCAAAATCGAAACCGATATTATACAGAATTTAATTTTCAGTTTTTGAAAAAAATTTATAATGTATGACATTTTTAGGAATATATTCATCGAGTGGGAAGAACGGCCCGTGGAGAAGGCAGCAGCGGTCATGCTTTATTAATATTGCGACCTGAGGAACTTGGTTTTTTGCGTTATCTCAGCCAGGCTCGAGTTCCCGTAAATGAATTCGAATTCTCATGGAATAAAGTGAAAAATATTCAACTCCAGGTGAGTCATATTTCTTTTTTTCATTACAATAGTTTTTGATACTTAAATCTCTTTTTGGTATCTAATAATCGCAAATATTCGGATTTAAAACTAAAACAGTTCATGACAAACTTTAAACATTAAATTATAATCGGAATGTCTATTGACAAAATTTATACCTGACCATCAGGAACTAAATCAGGAAATTAAATTAAAAATTTTTTTCTTTACTTTGAATACCTGATTATTTGATATTTTGATTTAACCATTATTCAACGAATAATAAGAATAAAATTATTATTCGACAATAAAAATTTTAAAAAGTAGATCAAAAACAGAGAAAAGAGGTTAAAATGTAAAAAATTAATTCGATTTGATTCATTTGAGAAATTGCTTCTGTTTTCGAGTATAAAAGTCATTTAAGGCACATTAGACGCTCATTAATTGGAATAGTTAGTAAAGACAATTGTTTTTAGTCTGGGGTTCGAATAATCGATCGTTTTATTGGATAAGTGCATTAAGTAGAGGTATGTGGGTAGAGGGTCCGAAAAAACTATGGTTCGTTTAATCGTAATATTCGTTTAAAAAGAAAAAGTGCAGACTAATAATTAGTCTATAAAGTCTTTTTTGAAGTGATTAAAAATTCTCTTAATATTATAGTTATTTTCCATCAAAGAATCCACAGGGTTGCCACAGGTCGAGAAAGTCAGGGAATTCAGGGAAAAGTCAAGGAATGTAGAATTGGTCAGGAAAATTAGGGAAAAAAAAAATTTTAATAAATAAATTTAATAAATTTAATTTAATAAATTTTAATAAAATTCTTGGCAAAATTTCAACTTTTTTCAAAAGTGTTCCTCAATTCAATGATTTTCTATACTTATCTACAATTTTAATAAAATTTTCCAAAAGAATTTTAAAAAAAATTAATAAAATTCTACGCGAACATTTAATTAATTTCATAAATAATAAAACTTTCGCAATAATTCAATTATTTACAAATTTTCTATAAAGTTCTTCGCAGTAATTCAATTATTTTCATAAATTATCAAATTTTTTACAGGGATTCAATTATTTTCATAAATTATAAAATCATTTACAGAGATTCAATTATTTTTATAAATAATGAAATTCTTTTTAGGAATTCAATTATTTTCTTAAATAATAAAACTCATCGCAGAATTTCAATTATTTTTAATATACAATTTTAATCGAATTCCTCAAAAAATGTAATTATTCTTAAAAATGTATTAAAATTCATCAAATAATTCAATTATTTAAAAATTTGTTGATAACATTCTTTATGAAAATTCAATTTTGAGAAACATTCAGTTATCCAAAAAAATAGTTTTTTTGTATTTAAATAGTTGAATTCTTGTAGAATTTTGTAATAAAATTGATATTTAAAAATTAATTTTAGTTAAAATTTTAGATAATTGAATATTAAAAGCATTATAGCAGGAATTTTTAGAAATAGTTGAATTATGAAAAGGTTTCAAATTAAAATCTTTGAAAATTTGAATTTTTTATACTTTTAATTAAGAATTCTGTAGAATTGATTTTTTGTAAAAGTTTAATTCAATTTTTTTCAAAATTATTTCAAGTTTTTATTTTCTAAATATTTAATTGAAGAATTCCTGAATAATCGAAATTTCGTAAAGTTGAATCGTAATTAATAATTAAATTCTTTTAAAAAATTTTAATAAAATCTTTGAAAATAATTACATTATTCGAAGAATTTACTTAAAATTGTATTAAAAATAATTGGAATCCTGTGAAGGATTCTATTAATTAGGAGAATAATTGAAATCTTGCAACGTATTTTTATTACCTTTTTTAAATAATTGAAATCCTGTAAAGAATTTTATTATTTACAAATATAATTCAATTCTTGCAACAAATTTTATAAATTTTTTTTAAATAATTCAAATCCTGTAAAAAATTGTATTATTTATTAAAATAATTCAATTCTTTTAACTTTTATTAATTTTTTTTAAAGAATTGAAATCTTGTAAAGAATTTCATTATTTATGAAAATAATTGAATTCTTACAACGAATTTTATTACATTTTTTTAAAAATAATTGAATTCTTTTGAGAAATTTTATTAAAATAGTAGATTTTGAAAATATTTGAATTTCTGTGAAGAATTTCATTATTTGTGAAATGTAATTGAATTCTTGCAAAAAATGTTTAGAAAAAAATTACATTTTTCGAGGAATTCATTTAAAATTGTATTAAAAATAATTAAATTCTTGCGAAGGATTTTATTAAAATTTTTGTAAATAATTTAATTTTTTTTGGCAAAATTTTATGTAAATTTAAATTATCATAAGTTGTTGAATTTCATAAAGGTTTGAATTTGAAATTTTTTAAAAATCTTAATTCGTGTAGAAAAATAATAATGATTAATTATTTATTTAAAAAAGAGTTTATTAATGTTTTTGAAAAATTTTACATTTAATAAAATTTGTAAATAAATGTAGTGGAACATTTTTTGAGTGTATCTAATAATTTTTAGTGTGAAACAGAGTATTCTTTAGGGTCAGAGAAAGAATAAAAATTTTGTCTAGAAATCAGGGAAATGGCAAGGAAAAAAACAAAATTAAATTTTTGTGGCAACCCTGTATAAGAAATTTTAGTTAATATAACTTTTAACAAACTTTAATTTGTTGTTTGGTATATTTTTTTGTTCCTCTTTTTAGAAAATATCCCACTTTTCATTTTTTTTTAATATAAAAGGTACTGCGATGCCTGTTATTAATAACCCATTAAATTTGCATTGCTTTGAATTTTTAACAGTCGCTGATAATTAAAATCGAGTATAATATTGACTATTAATTTAACAAATTAATTGAAGTCTAGTTTGAAAATAGTATTTAAAGGTAAATAAGTAAATGGAAAAATGAGAGATTTTTTCTCGTAGCATTATCGACGACACATTTTATACAATTATGTATATGTGTGTACCTACGCATAACTGTATCCCACAGCCTCTTTAACAGTATAACTTTTCTTTTTTATTTATCTTTCTCCTTCTTATACTTGTGTCATTTCTATCATTTCCAACTGGTTTCATGGCTCTTAAACATATAATGTGATCGCGTGCTCGTGTTTAAGTTGCTCTGTAAAGACGATGGAAGCATCGAAATGAGATGAAGTGGGAAAAGAGGGCAGAAGCGCCTACGTATTTGTGAATCACACACCACTCCCTAATGGAATAAACTCGATTTACTTGAATCAAATACAAAATTGAACGACTTATATTCTTTATCGTGTTTATATATTTACACACGGATATATTGATGATAATTAAATTTGCGTAATTTCTTGTTAAAAGTCAATTGATTATAATTCATAAACGAATTCATTATTTTTATATTTTAAATCATTTATTAATCAATTTTCACCTGAAAAAAAGTGATTTATTCTTTTCGTACTTTTTTGAAAGCTTTTATTAATTAAATTTATTTATTTTCCCCAACTTCAGATAACGGAAAATTACCTTTACTTCTCCTCGGCAAAATTGTGTGGGCTATTTTATGACTTTATTAATGGTCAATACACGTGTGATGATTCAATTCATTCAATTGATAATATGCGCAGAAATTTTCATGAATTATTTACCTGAGTAGAATTGATATTATTGCGTTTTACATAAACATATATATTTCTTTTCTCAATATAGTAAAAATTAATTTACTTATCATTTTTATACCCGACCATTGCGGGAATATTGTCGGATCATTTCAGATAATATAGTTTCCAAAGTGTCAATAAAATTTAAGGTATAAATTTTACAGTCCTCCAGTACATATAAACGAAAAAAGTAAATTTTTTTTTCTGACAATTTTCTGATTTGTCGTCTTTGTGAAATAAAATCTCACTTTCTGCATTCTTGCGACAATAATTACCTGGTAATTTAGACTTTTTTTTCTCTCCTCCCATTGGGGAAAAATGTGTCTCTCGAGTTTGTAAAAAGTATAAGTAAGCAAAAAAAAAAGTTTATAATTAAAAGAACGACATGTAATGTAGGTGTTTATAGTGGAAATGAAAGTGGGATAGGGAAGAGAACAATGATTACATAAAAAGAGAAACAATTCTTGATAAAAATGTCCATTTGAAATTCTTTAAATAACTTTTCCAAATGTGTGTATCTACTTGAAAAAAGATTACTCTTAAATTAAAAATAATTCGTTTCTACATTTTTTATAATTTTTTCCTTGAAATACTATAAAGGAGATTCAAGTTTTTTTTTAAAAAACTTTTTCTATTACTTTCACAGAATTTCAATTCTCTTTTTTCTTTTAAATTTTGCCTCTCTACTGATTTTAAATTATTAAAGACTAGGAATAAAATATAATTGATCAGAAAAATTCAGGAAAAAGTCAGGGTTGTTAAAGTATTAGAAAAAATTAAATTTGCAGGATTCATAATTAGTTTTGTTTAATTTTTTAATATGTATTTAATTAATTATTAAAAATCATGGATTTATAGAAGAATTTTAGTTAAAAATACTAAAAAGTAACACTGATTCTAACAGAAAAGTTACAAATGTTTGCAAAAATTCAATTATGTTAAAAAATTTTTAAAAATTCTCGTCAAAATTTCACTTATCTTTAAAAATAATAAAATTCTTCTCCAAAATTCAATTATTTTTATAAATAATAAAAATTTCACAGAAATTCGAATATTTACAAATTTTTTATAAATTTCTTCGCAATAATTCAATTATTTTCATAAATAATAAAATTTTTTACAGAAATTCAATTATTTTCATGAATAATAAAACTCATAATGGAATTTCAATTATTTTTAATAAAATTTTAACCGAATTCCTCGAAAAGTGTAAATTATTCTTGAAAATTTTATTAAAATTCGTCGAAAAAATGCAATTATTTAAAAATTTGATTATAAAGTTCTTTATGAGAATTCAATTTTGAGAAACATTCATTTATTCAAAAAATTTTTCATTTTTAAATTTAAATAATTGAATTCTCGTAGAATTTTCTAATAAAAATTGTTTTAAAAACGAACGTCAGTTAAAATTTTAGATAATAATTGAATATATTAAAAGTATTATAACATGAATTTTTAAAAATAATTGTATTTTGAAAAAATTTAATTATTTCAAGTTTTTATTTTCTAAATATTTTATTGGAGAATTTCCGAATAATCGTAATTTCGTAAAATTGAATTGTAAAGAAATGGTTTTGAAAGTTCTCATGGAACATTTGTAAAAAGTATTAAAAATAATTTATAAATAATTGATAATTGGATTCTTTTAAAGAATTTTAATGATATTTTTGAAAATATTTACATTTTTTTTGAAATCCTGTGAAGAATTTTATTATTTATGAAAAAAATTGAATTCTTGCAACAAATTTTGTTTAATTTTTTTTTAATAATTGAAATCCTGTGAAGAATATTATTATTTATGAAAATAAATTGAATTTTTCCAACGAACTTTTTTACATTTCATTTAAATAATTGAAATTCTGTGAAGAATTTTATTATTTATAAATATAATTGAATTCTTACAACGAACTTGTTTACATTTTTTTTAATTAATTGAAAACCTGTGAAGAATTTTATTATTTAAGAAAATAATTGAATTCTTGCAATATTTATTCTTGCGTATTTTATTATATTTCTTTTAAATAAATAATTGAAATCCTGTGAAGAATTTTATTATTTATGAAAGTTGAATTTTTTGTGAAATATAATTGAATTCTTGCAAAAAATATTTGAAAATCATTACATTTTTCGAGGGATTCATTTAAAATTGTATTAAAAGTAATTTAAATCCTAGGAACAATTTGATTATTTATGATAATAATTGAATTCTTACAACGAATTTTATTAAATTTTTTTAAATAATTGTATTAATGTGAAAAATTGTATTACTTATAAAAATAATTGAATTCTTGCGAAGGATTTTATTAAAATTTTTGTAAATAATTATTTTTGAAATTTTATGGAAATTTTATTGAATTTTAAAAGGTTTAAATTTGAATGTTTTAAAAATCTTAATTCCTTTGAAAAAATAATAACGATTTAATATTTATTTAAAAAAGAATTTATTGATGTTTTCGAATAATTTTACAATTAAAGAAATTCGTAAATAAATGTAATAGAACCTTTTCTTTGAGTATCTAATAATTTTGAGAGTGATTCAGAATAATCTTTACGGTCAGGAAAGAAGTCAAAATTTTGTCTGGGAATCAGGGAAAAGTCAGGGAAAAACAAAATTAATTTTTTCTGGCAACCCTGTAATAGAAATTAATGTTTCAACAATAATTTATAAGTAACTCTTTTTTATGACAGAATTTTTAATTTATTTTACAAATTAAATTATGATAATTGATTCAAAACAATTTTATTTAATTAATTTAATTAAACTTAAAAACGTTAAATTGGAATTTTATTAATTTTAAAATACAAACAAACAAAATTGTCAAAATTCTTTTTGGAAATCAGGGAAATAGATCAAATTTTTGTATGGCGACTCTTTTTATTTTTGAGATTTGTAAGAATTTTGAATATTTAATAACGAAAGTAAAAAAAGAAACCCTCTGGCATTGAGAATATTTTTTTCGAGATATGTGTGTCAAAAGGAATAAGAAAATAAAAATGAGGCTCTAATAATACGGAAAAAGGACGAAAAAGGCTATGACTTGCGTACATAGGGGGTGGGAACTTGGACATTCTTTACATTTACACACTTTAAGTTTTTCAAGGCTTTCACCTACATATATATGTAATGTATACAAAGCCTCACCTTTAATGATATCCTTTAAGGCCTTCTAGTTATGTGCGGTTTAGAAAATTATTTAACAATTTCACGGATGAATTACTCCGATTTTTTTCTTCTAATATTCTAATTGAGTTAAAGTGTTCCTTAATTTGTGTGAATTTATTGAAAAGTTTACTTTACAATTGTATATTCATTTACAAATATTATATATATACATATATACTTATAAATAATGTTTATGACGTAAATCACGTCTGATAATAAGATTCCTATGATAATCACATGTAATTAAAATCTTATCCTACTGTATATTATTCTTAAGATTATTTCATCGACAGATTGAGATAAAGCGTCATGTTTTGGCTTAATTATATACTATTTATTTCTGATACTGTATATTTACTCTCATATTTATTATTTTTAAATTGTACTCTTAATTAAAAAAAAGAAAATTTACCTGAATTATTATTTTCAGATGATTTATTCTAGATTTAGAATTAATATCTGTATTATTTTATGATATTTGCTTCTTGTTTTGAATTAATATCAATTTTTCTCTGTCAGTTTGAAAATTTTTTCTACTTTGTTAGAGACAGACAATTATTATCCCTCCCACTCTTCTTATTTTTAATAAATATTTTTCGTATTTTGTAAATAATACGAAAGAAGAGAAAAATTTTCTTCTTCGAGAAAGGAGAAGAAAAGGAAGAATAGAAATTTTGAGAAGATGTTTTGTGGAGTCTATGAGGTATTTTTCCTCTCTGTATCAGATTTTTTATTTTTTTGTCGTATATAATTTTGTTATTTCTTTCTTTCAGTTGGAGAAATTAGTAGCGAAAAATTACTATTTAAATATGTCTGCAAAAGAAGCCTATAAGGCTTATGTACGAGCTTATGATTCTCATCATTTGAAGCAGATTTTTGATATTGAAACTTTGGATTTGGCCGCTGTTGCAAAATCGTTTGGATTCATTAATCCACCAGCAGTTGATTTAAGTATCCTTTTTTATAGAAAAAATATGGAATTTTCTTCTTGTTATTAATTTTATTTTTAGTAGACATTTTTTTATTATTAATTAAATTTTTAAATTAGTAACAATTTTTATTATTAATTTTATAAGCGGTGAAAAGTTTTATTATTAGTCCAGGGTTGCCACGCAACCTGGAAACCTGGAAAACTTGGAAATGTCAGGGAATTTTTATAAACCTTGAAAAAACCTGGAAAAGTCAGGGAATTTTGATTGGAATCCTGGAAAATTATTGTTTTCTAAAGTTATTGTGCTTATTCTTGAAATTTAATTTTTCTTTATTTTATATTTCAATTTTCTTAATTCAATTTTAAAAGAGTTTCCTTTACAATTTTTCTTCGCAATAATTCAATTATTTTCATAAATAATAAAACTCATCGAAAATTTCGATTATTTTTAATACAATTTTAATGGAATTTCTCAAAAAATGTTTAAAAAAAATTCTCGTCAAAATTTAAATTATCTTTATAAATATTAAAATTTTTCTCCAAAATTCAATTATTTTCCAAAGAATTTTCATGAAATTCTTTTTAACAAATTCAATTTTTTTTTCAAAAATTCTCTTCCAGGCAATGATTTTCAATATCTACTGTTTTTAAAAAAATTTTCCAAAAGAAATGAATTTTTTTATAAATTTCTTCGCAATCATTCTATTATTTTCAAAAATATACAATTTATGTTTACAGAGATTCAATTATTTTTGTAAATATGTAGTAATACAATTTTTTACAGGGATTTAATTATTATTTTCATTGATAATAAAACTCATTGCAGAATTTCAATTATTTTTCATACAATTTTAATCGAATTCCTCGAAAAATGTAATTTTTCTTAAAATTTTATTAAAATTCGTCAAAAGAATTCAATTATTTAAAAATTTGGTCATACAATTCTTTATGAGAATTCAATTTTGAGAAACATTCATTTATTTAATAAATTATTTATTTTTATATTAATAATAATTAGGTATTTAAAAAGAAATATTATTAAAAAATTTGTCTCAAGAATTTAGTTATTTTCAAAAGTAATAAAATTCTTCGCAGAAATTCAATTATGGTCAAAAGTTTAATAAAAGTTATAGTCAAAATTTGAGTTATTTTTATAAATATTAAAATTTTTCTCTAAAATTCAATTATTTTCAAAAATTTTAATAAAATTCTTAGCAATATTTCAATTATTTAAAAAAATTTTAATAAAATTCTTGACAAAATTTCAATTATTTTCAAAAACTTTTCTCAATTCAAAGACATTTTTTTACAGAGATTCAATTATTTTTAATACATTTTAAATCTAATTTCTCGAAAAATGAAATTGTTCTTAAAAATTTTATTGAAATTCGTCAAAAGAATTTTAATTACTTATTTCAAAAATTGTTGATAAAATTCTTTAAATGAGCGTTGAATTTTAAAAAACATTCAATTCTTCAATAAATTATTTTTTTGTATTTAAGAAATTGAATTGTAGAATTTTCTAATAATTATTGATTCAAATACGAAATTCAGTTAAAACTTTAGATAATAATTGAGTTTTGAAAAGCAGATCTCAAATTATATAATCTTTGAATGTTTGAATTTTTCATACTTTTAACTTAAAATTGTGTAGATTTAATTTTTTTGTAAAATTTGAATTGAATTTTTTTAAAGTTATTTCAAGTTTTTATGTTCTAATATATATTTGATTGAAGAATTTCCAAATAATCGATGAAATTTCGTAAAATTGAATTGTAAATAAAAGTATTTAAAAATGTTGAAAGAATATTTCCAGAAATTATTAATAATAATTCATTTACACTTTATAAGGAAGAATTTTAGTTTTAAATTCTTGAAAACAATAATTGAATTAAAATAATGAAAGTAATTTTAAATAAGTTACAGTAACAATATTCTTATAATAGGTATAAAATGATGATTTTATCAGTCCAACAATTTTAATTATTATAAAACGTGAAGATATCAATTGCTCCGAGTCGAAGACTCGGAGTGATCGATATTTTCATGTTTTATACCAATTTTTTATAAGTTGTTTAATTTCAAAAAAGTTAGAATTAAAAATTTTGTAAAATATAAATGTAGTTTTAAAAACCTGGAAAAATTCCGTTTTTTAACCTGGAAAACCTGGAAAAGTCAGGGAATTTGAAATGAGCAAAAGCGTGGCAACCCTGATTTAGTTTATTTAATAATAGGTGATTATAATTATTATTCTCTACTGCATCCTATTTAAATTATTTATATTTATTTTTTTTATTTACTTTTCAGAACAAATATTAATTAGGTAACTTTTTTTGAAATTAAAAAAAACAATTTTTTCCTTAATTTACTTGTACAATAGAAGTGGGATTAAGTAAAGATACAAGACCACGGAAGAAAATTGGAGGCGGTGGTTATGGATATATGAAAAATATGAACAATCCCAGTGGTGGAAAGCAGATGCATCGAAAGAAAATTTTCCATCAAGGTGGAAAACGTGGAAATGACGGTCGACAATTTTCGAGATAATCAATTATCATCAACGAGAAATTAATGTTTCTTGTTACAATTTGTAAAATAGAAATAAATTTATTATTAAATATATACACATTTGTTGTTATAATGTCCTAAATTGAAAATAGATTTTTCGAAAGTGTTTTTTCCTATTTTGAATTGGCGCTCCATTTATTAATTCTATAAAATTATTCTAAAGACGAAAAGTATTAAGAAAATTTATTTTTTGAATGTGCAGACCCAATTTTCATTTGCGGATAAAAAGGCGAAAGTTACTGAGCTATTCCAGGAAAAGGTTCGATTGCAACGAAATGGAATTTCAATGTGAGTTTTCTTTTTTATTCAATTATTTTAATTACATAATTTTTTCAAATTAAAAAAAAAACCACGAAAATAACATGAGAATAAAATAGAAAACTTTGGATCTATGATTTTAACATTAATTCAAATGTATAAATTTTATATTTTTTTCTCGATCCCACACCAAATCTCTACTCGAGTGTTGTTTCAAGTAAGAAAAAAAAAGTTTCACTATATAATAATGAGCCCACGCAGAACAAAAAAAAGGCAAACTGATCATTAAAATCAGAGTGTAGATTCTAACTAGAAACAATTTCGAAATTCTCCATCCACCCACACGTGAAACGGTGAAATTATTTCTTCCATTAAAGTGTCAAAGCCTGTCATATAAAAAGATAAGAATCGATTTGAATTCATTGAACATTTCCTTGTTCACATTTCGAGTACAAAACGCATAGTACATAACGAATATATTGTGAAAAATGCATTTTTTATTCCGACATCGGAGGAAATTTCATGAATTTATTTTTTTTCTCGAGTTTTTATATTTCACGTTCAAAGTAAGTTGAACATTATTCTGACGCTTGTTTTCAAAATGGTCACTGAACTATAAAGTTGAGATTAATATTGCGGTTTTATCGACTTGTCAAAGACTTGACATAAATACGTTGTTTTTTTCTTTAAAGAATTGAATATTGCCAACTTTTGTATATAATAAAAGAACAAAAGAAAAAAATCTTGTATAGAAATTATTGGTCATTTTAACGTGGGCCGAAACTAACGACTGATTTTTGGTGTGTGATTCTTTAGTTTCAATCTCTACCAAGGTCAAAAAACACTTGACCGCAGATTTAATTTATTTCTATAATTTTAAAAAAATGTCTTATTAAAAATTGTAACGATAAAATAGTGATTGAGAGAAACTTTTTCGCAACTAATTTCTTAAGTTTTTAAAATAAAATTTTTTTAAAAACATTCATTGGTGAACCTGCTATTACGTTAAAGTTGCAATAAAATTTTCTATCCTTCAGGACGATGTTTAGCAAATTTTTTCCTGGTCACAGGCTTCACAGTCTGTCCCCTATTTCCCTAAAAGTCCCCTTTTTTTAATTTTAGCCCCTAAACGTACCCTATTTTGAAAATTTCCCCTATTTTTTTCTTTTATCTTTTAATGATGAATTAACACCAAATTTAGCAAAGTGCCGTTGACACTTTCAATTGAAAACTTTTGTTTTGAAAATTATTTTTATAAATATTTTTTAATTCGTCGCAGGAATTATCTTGATAACCAACAAAATTCTCCCCATAAAATCAATTCAATTATTTTGATGAATATCAAAATTCTTCTCAAGAATTCAATTATAGTCAAAAATTTTAATTAACATCTTCCTTGGCAAAATTTAAATTATTTAAACAAAATTTAATAAAATACTTGGCACGAATTCAATTATTTTTATAAATTTTAATGAATATCTCGTCAAGAATTCAATTATTTTTATAAATAGCAAAATTTTTCGCCAAAAGTTCAATTATTTTCAAAAATTTAAATAAAATTCTTTGCAACATTTCAATTATTTTTAAATAATAAAAATTCATTTAGGAATTCAATTATTTTCATCGCAGAATTTCAAATACTTTTAATACAATTTTAAATAAATTCCTTGAAAAATGCAATTATTATTAAAAATTTGATTAAAACTTGAGGAAAGAATTCAATTTTAAGAAATATTCAATTATTCACTAAAACAATAAAATTCGTTGCAATAATTCAAATATTTTCATAAGTAACATTTAATTCGTCGCAGAAAAATCAATTATTTTCAAAAATTTTTAAGTAATTTTGCAAAAGAATTCAATTACCTTGATAAACAACAAAATCGCATAAATTCTTCCAATAAAGTAAATTATTCTAAGGAATTTTATTAGAAAATTCTTTTCCAAAATTCAATTATTTTGATAAATATCAAAATTCATCACAAGAATTTAATTCTTTTGAAAAGTAATAAAATACTTTGCCGAAATTAAATTATTTTCAAAATTTTTTAAAAATTCTCGTCAAGAATTAAATTATCTTTATAAATATAGATTGGGAAATTCTTCTCAAGAATTAAATTATTGTCGAAAATTTTTTTTAAATTCTTCTCAAAAAGTCAATTATTTTCCAAAATTTTAATAAAATTCTTCTCATGAATTCAATTGTTTTTAAAAATTATTATTTAAATTCTTCTCAGGAATTCAATTATTTTCAAAAATTGTTATAAAATTCTTTAATATAATGAATTTCATTAAAATTTTAATTAAATTCCTTAAAAGAAATTAAATATTTTTAAAAGTTGTTAATACAATTTTTCGTAATAATTAAATTTTAAGAAACATTCAATATTATTTATTTTTGTATTTAAATAATTGATTTCTCGTAGAATTAAATTATTGTTTTTTGTACTTTTAACTAACAATTCTGTAGAATTAATTTTTTTGAAAAAGTTTAATTGAATAATAATTGATGTTATTGATTTAAAGTAGAATTTTAGTTAAAAATTCTAGAAAATGTTAATTGAATTAAAAAGATACAAATAATTATGAAGAAATTACAGTAACAATAATCTTATAATAATAAAATAATGATTTTGTCAGTCAGTCATCTTCAATTATTATGAGTTGTTCAATTTGAAAAGGTTTGAATTTGAAATTTTTAAACATCTTGATTCCAATGAAAAAAAAAATGATTAAATATTTATTTTAAATAAAACTATTGATGTTTTCGAATAATTTTACTTTTGAAGAAATTTGTAAGTAAATTTAATAAAACATTTTTTTGAGTATCTAATAATTTTAGAGTGAATCAGAATATTTTTTAGGGTCAGGGAAAAAGTTAAAGTTGTATTTGGAAATCAGGGAAAAGTCAGGGAAAAATAAAGTTAAATTTTTGTGGCAACCCTGTACAAATAATTAATTATATTTTTATCTTTATTTAACCAATTTGTATGGTCCTCTAAAAGTCCACTATTTTTTAATTTTCAGTCCCCTATTTCCCCTAAAATACTTTTTAGGGGCACTGTGAAGCATGCCTGGTCATAAACTATTACTAGAACAATTCTAATTAATATCTGGGTCATAAAAATTACTTTAATTCACAATTCATTAAAAGTAACCACAGCCGATAATCAGCAGAAGATGGAAAATTATTTTTTGAGCGAACTTCATCCTTTATTATTAAGAATTGTTGTCCAAGGCCGGGGAAGATTGTAAAGTGATTTACGGGTAAATAATTGTTTGCGAATAATCGACATAGTGTATGTGCCCTTGTACGTCCTCGAAATCGAAAGTCCTCGTCAGGAATCTTGTAGACAGTAAATGCATTACGTTTCACCCACGCGCTTATTGATCCAGTAGGCACGATCCATTTAGATATTGGAAGGTCTCTCAGACCTACGATGCACTGCGATAGAATGTCATTTGCAAAAAAAGGGGGATAATTTATAACATTCACACCCACAGTGTTTCACAACGATCCTTCTATGGGGAAACGTGTGTGACGTCAACGGTACCTCACATTGACCAATATGTATGTGTAGGTTTCATAGTTAGCATAAAGAAGGAAATAATCGTGGGAGATCTTTTATCATTCAAAAAAAAAAAAAAAAGATTTGATCGATCCCATCTTTAATTTTACATTTTACCGAAAAATATGACACGTCACTCACCAATTTTTCTTAGTAAACGTATTTTTTTCTATAGGAACAAAATCAAGATTATCTATATAAGAAAATATACTATATTAAATCGGATTAATTAAAAAAATACCGTAAAATTGTTTGAATTTCACCGAAAATTCAAGTGCTCGATGCAAATAGCCTCGAGGTTCATTATTATGGTCTTGTCCTCAAGTATCTCCAACTAACGGGGGTTTAAACTCCAGTTTAACGATGTACCACACACAACATGCTCTACCTGCATTTACCCTGACAACTTTCAAACTAATCTTCATTTTAATTGAGAAATCAGTTTTTTTCCATAATTCATTTGCGACTATTTTTTTCCTGCGTTTAACTTTTTTTCGAATTTGTAATCAAATTCAAGTTTGTAATTACAAATTTGCACTACTACAATGTCAGGAAATTTTGATCAAAATCCTAGAAAATTGTTTTCTAAAGTTATTGTGTTTATTCTTGAAATCAAATATTTTACTTAAATATTTCAAAATTAATTCAATTTTAAAAGAGTTGCATCTACAATTTTCATAAGTAGATGAACTTCAAAAGGTTTTAATTTGAAATTTTGTAAAAGTATTTTTTTATACTAGTAGTAAAAATTGCTAAGACTGACAAGCTTTTCAAGTTTTTTTAAATTTAGTTTATTATTCGCGCCATGAATTTTATCATTTGCATCATTTTCTGAGCTTATCAATGAAAATTCTTATCTTTAGAAAAATTGAACTATTAGGGAAAATTAGAAGAAAAATAAATAAATAAAAGCCTAATCCAAAAATATTCCCAAAATTGAGTGATTTTGTGAGAGAGAAAAAATGCAGGAAACGAGCAATCCAATGACTGTAATTTTTCCCCTCTTTATTCACTCCATACTGGCAATTTGATCGTTCCCGATAAAAGATTTGCATCACTTATTGCTCTTCTTGAAATGGAAAACAGTGTACATTTTGCATAATATATTCCCATCTCGATAATAAGTTGTCATATTTAATTTTTGTTGTATACAATTTACAATTTATTCAAAGTTCAATAAACTTCAGGACATGATTTGAACTAGATGAAATTTCTTCAACCAGAATA